GTTTAATTCCCTGAACGTTTCACATCCAAATCCCTGTGCCAAAATATAAATGGTCCAGAGCAAAATTTTTTTCTCATTACCATCCACTTCCTTAGCCCCATCACAAGCACCTTGTGTTTATGTTTGTCTTTTAAAGCCAGGCTTCGGAGGAAAAAGAATTTTTGATATGTTGTAGCTGATTTTTCTAAGACAGAAAAAAGTTGTTTGGCGTAAAACTGGGAAACGGTGAATGAAATACAGATTTTTAAATATTTTACTGGGGACAGAAAAAAGTTGTTTGACGTAAAACTGGGGAACGGTGAATGAATACAGATTTTTGGATATCTTACTGGGGGAAAAATGGGGCATAACCGCCTTTTTTTAGACCTTTTTCCCCCCAGTTTTTAAAATCAGTTCTACAACACATAAACAATATTTTTCCTTCGGAGTCTAAGTTTAAAAGGGGTTGTCACTTTAAAAGACTGATGTATTCACTAATTGGCAATCCATGGCCCTTGTGCCTAATAAATAACAAAGTAAATAAATTTTAACTACCATACCTCATGGTTAAGGCCTGCTGCGTCCACTGATCCCACAACCGATGGACCTGTTCATATATCCTGGCAGTTTGTGCAATTATTGTTCTTTTTCACACCTTAATTCTTCGGTCATTGTTAGCATGTCACAAAAATATTACTGGTGCACTGTCATAAATAGCCCCCTCGGCCACCACAGGTTCGAAATTGTTGGTGTGCTGCCATCAGTAGCACATTCACCCACCACTGATCCCAGAAGTGATTGAGTCACACAAACTGTTTAGTGCACTACCATAGGGAGCCCATTCAGTCACTACTTGTCCCAAAAGTTGAGCCACACTATGTGTAATTATACTCATAGGATATCAAATGAGCAGTCTCTGATATTTTCATGACATAAATTTTAATTTGCATTTTATTCGTACTATGTTTAGTTGCAAATTTAAAAATGCATTTATAGTATTATAGCTGTGTCATTTTTTTGTTTTAAACTAGGGTGATAGTGACAACAGCAAATTGGCTGATGTGTATCTGGAAAAAGATGCAGGGACACCACTGCTGCCAGAAAGGTTCACCTTGTCGAAGGAGCAAATATATGTACGGTGTGTGATATGGTCACAGCATGCCGTGTACCTATGCTCATACTATATTTTCCATTTACACTATGTAGCTAGCTGTCTCTTATACACATCTAGATGTGTATAAGAGACAGGAGTATAAGAGTGCAATGTATTAAGAAAACATGTTTAAAATTTTATATCAAATATTTCCTAATGATTAGGCTATAATTTGATAAACTAAAGAAAATGCTTAAATTACATTAAATTACATTAATTACATTAGATAGTGATGCAAGTGTGCATGGACTTTTTAATATACTGTAAGTTCGCAGAACTTAAGTCAAAAACCCCAATTAAAATCTAATTAACTATGACATTATGGTCAGAGTGACTCATTATTAATATTAATAACTATAACAATAATTATAGGTGTAATAATTTTCCCCTACCTGACATAAAAATGTACTGAATATTCAGTATGTGTGAAAACAACTTGATTGAATTTGGATGTAATTTATAAAACGTGTTAACAAGAAGGACAAAATAGATCATAAGAAAAGCAAATTTGCAAAGGTGAAATAAGCCTGTTCCTTGGTGATCCGCCTTGTTTGTTCTCCTCAAGTAGTCATATTAATGTATTCTGTCTCTTATACACATCTAGATGTGTATAAGAGACAGCGATACAAGCGGCGCCGAAACACCGAATCCCCACACTATCGTGCCCACCCCGGCACCTGGAGTTATGCATTACGCCATCTGATGTGATAATTAATGATAATATAAAGGATTAGAGTATAAGAGTGCAATGTTTAAAGAAAACATGTTAAAAATTTAATATAAAATATTGCCTAAAGATTGGGCTATAATTTGATTAACTGAAGAAAATGCTTAAATTACATTAATTACATTAGATGGTGATGCAAGTGTGCATGGAGTTTAATATAAGTTTGCAGAACTTAAGTTAAAAACCCCAATTAAAATCTAATTAACTATGACATTATGGTAAGAGTGACTTAAATAATATTATTATTATTAAAATTGTTATCATTATTAATAACTATAACAATAATTATAGGTGTAATTTTCCCCAACCTGACATAAAAATGTACTGAATATTCAGTATGTGTGAAAACAACTGCGAAAAAAAAAATCGCAATTTGGCATCAATTTTGTGGTAACATTTTCTCTAAAAAAACCTTGTTTAACTTGCTAGAAATTATTATTCTTCTTTACTTGATTGAATTAGGATACAATTTATAAAATGTGTTAACAAGAAGGACAAAATACTGTAGATCACAGGAAAAGTAAATTTGCAAAGGTAAAATAAGCCTGTTTCTTGGTGATCCGCTTTGGTCGTTCTCCTCAAGTAGTCATATTAAAATCATATGTTACAATTTCTAACCAAGTTTTATATATAGACTTGCATTGTGCTTGATGATTTTATTTTAATGATTTTTACAATTAAATAACGACTGCTGTAGAAACACGAGGAAAGCCATGCAACAGAATTATAATTATTAATATTATTTATACAATTTTATTTTTACAATTTTTTGAACATGACTGTTGTTAGGGAGAAGGGAGAGGTGGGGAGGTCTTGATCGATTTCAAGAAGGAATTAATCACATTGGACCCAAGTTGATTTCATCTAAATTTTAATTTGCAGAACGTAGTTAATTAGAAATCTCTTATACACATATAATAAATAACGTATTCACAAGTTTGTATTGCTTAATTGTAAAATTGCAGATACTGAAGCAAAGGCTGCTATTTGGCCGATTCCACCTATATGTTAAAAAGAAGATAATCAAGTTTTCATGTACAAGTTAATTTATGATTGAAAAATGATTAATGCTGTAATTGAAAAATGTTTAATTCCCTGAACGTTTCACATCCAAATCCCTGTGCCAAAATATAAATGGTCCAGAGCAAAATTTTTTTCTCATTACCATCCACTTCCTTAGCCCCATCACAAGCACCTTATGTTTATGTTTGTCTTTTAAAGTCAGGCTTCGGAGGAAAAAGAATTTTTGATATGTTGTAGCTGATTTTTCTAAGACAGAAAAAAGTTGTTTGAAGTAAAACTGGGAAACGGTGAATGAAATACAGATTTTTAAATATTTTACTGGGGACAGAAAAAAGTTGTTTGACGTAAAACTGGGGAACGGTGAATGAATACAGATTTTTGGATATCTTACTGGGGGAAAAATGGGGCATAACCGCCTTTTTTTAGACCTTTTTCCCCCCAGTTTTTAAAATCAGTTCTACAACACATAAACAATATTTTTCCTTCGGAGTCTAAGTTTAAAAGGGGTTGTCACTTTAAAAGAC